TGTCTTTTTGGGAACAACCGCATTAATCTATTCCCCTAGTAATTTACATAGAATTATAGCCTCATGTATAAGGGATAAGTTTGGCAGGCAAATTACTGGGGTTCAAAGCCTGCTTCCATAACATATCAGCTGTGTGACCTCACATGACTCATTGTACTTCTCTGTGCCCCTGCCTCAGCTGTGAAATAGAGAAGAGTCTTCGTCTAGTAGAACTACCACAGGGACTAAGTGAAGAGTACTCAGCTCTGGCCCAGGATATTAACAGAGCTCAGCAAAGATCGCTCACCTCTGTTAGCTACTACCTTCACTCTTCTGCCCCAGACAGATACTAAGATGAATACCTCCTTAAACTCAGAGTCTCCCTTAAGGTGGACTGAAGAACCCAGGAAAAAGCATTCCCTTCTGGAGGATTTATCCAGGAAGGCTGTAGCAGAGAAATCAAATTTCTGGGAGACCTTGAAAAGCAGGTATGATTTTAATAGGGCCAGAAAGACCCAAAAAAGTATTCCAGGGTGGAGAACAGCAAAAGTGGGAAGAGTCCAAAACTGCAGGGCAGCTGCGTGTGCCTACATTTGTCTAACAATCAGCATGTGAGAGGGTTGGAAGATCCAGGTCCATCAGGATGACCTAAAATGCCATGCTGAGTAACTTAAACCTTCTGTGCAGACAGTGTGACACCATGGAAAGTTGAGAGACAAGGTGACAGAGTCAAGTCAGTGCCATATGAATATTCATCGTGCAGTGGTAAGCAAAAGATTGGTAGAGTGTCAGGAGACTACTTTCATAGCCCTGTGAGAGATCAGCTGAGCATAAGCCATGACAAATGTGACAGGTATGAGTGACATTTCTATGAAATCCCCATGAAGTTCAAACTAAGGAAACATCTTGCACAAAGGATTCTCCAAGCAGCCTAAATGCCTGATGTATAGAAACAGGAAGCTAATGGGTTATCTTAACTCAGTGACTATTAAAATTACCAAAAAAAGAAAAAAGGTAGAAATCATCTGGTCTCACTTCATTTTATAGGTTAGTAAATAGGCCTATAGAGTTAATTTGTCAAAAGATGCAAAGAAAATGGAAGCCTGGGGATGGTACCATAATGCAGGTTTCCTCAGTGCTGGGCTGCCTGGCGACGTCCTTGAGGAAGCATCCTTTGAATCCTTCTTCTCTCCTTTTCTTGTACACCTAGAGGCCCATTTCAGTCTTATTATCCAGTGGCTCTTTTGCCATTAAACTTTAAAAACAGAGTCCTTGGCCTGGGGATGTAGTTCAGCGCTAAGAATGCTTGAAAAAAAAGGTCTTCCCTATATGCTTTCACTTCACCCACTTCCTTGGCTACTCCTATGTAAAACCTCTATGTGAAACCTATATTAGATATCTCCACTCCAGTTATTTGAGTAAAATGTATTCTTTTCCTCTACTGCATCTTTTAAATTCCCTAGTTCAATTAAAGGATTAACTAGGTTACAAATTACAGAGTCACCTTTAATTCTGTCCTCTCCTACTTGCTACTCTTAAGTGCCTCTGAATATTTGACTTCCTTTCCACTTGACAGGCATAGCCACAGCCCAGGACTTCATTACCAAGCCTGGACTGATGCACTTGTATTCTGATGGAGCCTTCCAATTATCTCTTCCTCTATCAGTCTATTTTCACAATCTCTTTCAATTGCCTTCTAAAAATGCACATTTGAACCTGTCATAGTTGAAGGTCTCTTGACTTCTCACTTGAATTTCCTATTGAGGGACTGGTTAACTTACTCTGTAAATGGCCACTCACTGTTGCGGCAGTCATGTAGCATTCATAGTGGGTAACGTGACTGAAGCTGGGTCTCATGAAACTTCTTTCTAGATGTATAGTCTTCATGTGTTGTAAAAAATGTTTTCTTAACTATAAAAACCATTCTTAGAATGGTTTACAAAATAGATTATGGGCCAGATGTGGCCCATGGGCTGTGGTTGCTGACCATCTCCTAACCAGTCTTCTTATCTCCTATATCAACTCATCAAGCTCACTCTCCACACTGCTGTCTGAGCCAGAATCTCAATCCAGAAAGTCTATCATATTGACAGCCTGCTTAAAAATGTATCAACAACAATCAATTATTCTCAGAATGCTTAATTTCCAGAGTGTAGCCCACAAGGCCTTCTTCTGGCCTGTTCTCCCCTTTCCAGTCTTATCTTCTATCAAACACCCATCCTGATTGTAGAGTTTATGTTCTCTCCCATCTTTCCATCTTTGCACATACTAGTCTCTCACCTGGGATACCACCCCACCTTTGAGAACTCCTGCCCAGGAGTTCATTAATCAATTTCCACTAACTGCTGCCTTTCACTATCAGCTTCCCCTATCACCTACTCCTCCAGTTCAGAACAAGCCAGTTCTCCTTCCTGAGTGCTTCTGTGGATATTTTACTCCCAGCATTGCCCTACTGTCACACTCTATTGTAATTGCAAACACAGATCTGGCTCTTTCGGTTGAATGTGAGCAATCTAAAGCTAGAAACTGAAGTCTCGTTTTTCTCTCTATGCCTAGAGCCAAGTGGAGTACTTAAGAGATAGCAGGTGCTCAATAAATATTTCTTGACTAAGTGAATGTTGCACTCACCAACTGGGTCCTGCAATAAATGCTAAATTTCTATTTTCTATCTTTAAATCCAAATAAGGACAGATATCAAAATGCAGTACATTATTTTTCTTTTAGCTTGACCTTCAGATTTTTATTCCAGTTTTTAACTTTTCCCCTAAAGATTCATATCCTTATATCATCATTACTTTATAACATGGCTTTAAACTTTGCTTAGACTATGTCATTGAAAATGTTTGAGACTGAATTGTGAGGTGCTATCTACGTAGGAGTTATATATCTTAGCTGAGCTGCACTGAAAAAGAAAGACGTGATGTTTGTCAGTCACACACTTGAGTATACGCAGTCAATAAAGAAAGGTGAGAGCTAGCAAACTCTTTTAAAAAATCAGAAATATTTAGTCCAGTAACCAACTCACATTTTTAGTACAAAGAAGAAATACGCAACATTCCTTGCATTTTTAGTTGTCATCTTAAAATTATGAAAGTGATTTTTATAAAACATAAACATAAACTAAGCATAATGCTTACAAAAAAGTATTGCACTTAGAAAATAAGTAAGTTTCATTTCCTATAAAACTAGGTTTAAATTTTTGCAGAATCAATGTAAATAAAGCTCAACAGAAGAAAGCTTTGTAGGGAACCAAGCAAAACAGTTTTCTTAAGAACAAAGGAATTGGTTATCCCTCGTCTGCCTTTAGCAGTTGGTGCATCTTAAGATGCTCTACTTGCACGAAATGGATCTTGTCGAACAGTACAAATTGATCCTGCTCAGGAAGCTCTCCACGGACTCTGACTTCAGAAATTAACTCTCTGAATAAGACAGAATTGCAAAAGGGGCAAAGCAGCATTAATATTTATTTACTGAAGCTCAGCCACACTGAGGCATTTAAAAGCTATCATATTTCAGTGGTTTAGTAGTGCTTAGCAAACAAATGGGTGGTTCGCAATAGAAGCCAGACAGAAAAGAAAAACAAGTGACATTACCAGAATGAAGCTAAATTCTAAAACTTCTAAGACTAAGTAACCACAGGAACTGTTAATATTATGTTCTCAGTTCCACAATGACAATACTTTAAACAGGCATTAAAAAAACAGCAATTATTCTGTAATATTAAGCAATTTTTTTCTCATAAAAGTGTTTTAACTGCTGGGATTTTTTCCAGACATAATACATGCATAAATGATTTCTTTTCCCTTCTTCCTTTTGCTTTTTCTCTTTCCTCTCTTTTTCTTTCACTGTTTAAATAGGAAGGTGTCAAACCATTTGGAATATTATCATAACAAAATGTTTTTAACAAAGTTTGATTTTAACAGAACTAGAGGCATCTTAACACTAACCCAAAACTTTGGGAGGTTCACCAACCCCTAGGATATTTTTTTCTCCAAATGCAGGCTGTTCAAGTGGTGCTTTTCTCCATCTGTTATCATACCGTGCTCAGAATTACATTGTCATATTTAATGTAAAAGGGATCAGTCCCCTTTCATAGTTTAAACTCAACATAATACTATAATTGGAAGACCAGTGTTTTTCTATTTTATAAACTAAATCAAATATCATAAGTTTACATGCATATTTAGACAAATTTTCTCTAAAAACTGAAAAACTCTAAGAACTGAACAAACCCAAAGGCTTGATCTGAAAACTGAAAAACCACACTAAAACTCAGAGTGAGAAGATACCACTTACATGGTAAAGTGAAATATTCACTCTCTATTTGAATTTTCTGTGTATGTATTTATGAATGTGTATGTTTCTAATACAGCAAACTTACAATGTTTGCAACCTAGAAATGTATTTTAATGTACAGCTGAGCTATATGTTTAATTAAGTTCACAACAACAATCACAAAACATCTCATGATGGATACAATGCAATTTAAAGCCTTGAGGTATAAGCATGGCCATAACAATGACTGAATATGAACGGTGCAAATCAGTTTCACCTCTAAATTTTGTACCTCTTTAGGACACAGAATCCTTATTTTGTATCAGCTGCATTTCAATTTGCATCTTAAGATTTCTTTTATTTTAGTCTTTCACCACCGACATTTTCTGATTATTTTCCTAAATATAGTCCTCAGATCCTTCATTTCAACATTTTTATTAGACACAGGATTAACAGGACAGGTAGTGGAGATGGTGGGAGAAATATGCCATTTTGCTTATATTGATGGAGAATCACCTAAATATTTGGGCACTGTCGACGAACGGTTTGTGATACGTCAGTAACTCCCTGCCACACTCAGCATTCACGTCGGGTGTTTTGCTTCCACATCTCCACTTTCCTTAATATGCCTGAAAGCTGTCTGTGAATTGAATGACTAAGCCTAAATCTAACAACTGTTTGGAAGCCTGTGGCAAAAATCAGCAGGATGAGCTCAGTGCTGGGTGTGTAACGGGATTAGGGCATACCTGGTGAGGTGCAGTTGGTGCTCAGATTCCCCCAGCAGCTCTGTTACTTTCAGGCACTCCTCTCTGGCCCGGGCTGCCTTCTGCTGCTCCTGCTCCACGTGCTGCCTGCTTTCGCTCAGTTCTAGTCTCAATTTCTCTATCTCCTTAGGGAGAGAGAAGGAGAAAAACATCCATATCAAATATGCGCACCTGATCCCAAAATTAGCTCACTTCTATTTTTGCCATAAATTTTAAAGTAATAGAAAAAATATTAGGAAATTCAGGCTAGCTTCTGTCTTATGACAAAGGGAATTAGCACATCTACAAATGCACATTAGTGAGGTTGCTCTGGACTGAAAGAGGAAGTCTGATTACAAAAATTAAATGATTAAATGAGAACAGTCAAAATGGATAATCTGTACTTTCATTCAAAGGTTTGTTCCCTTTAAACAGTGGCACTTAGTGACACTAAGATACAACATTTTGTTTAAGAATTGATCAGATATATGCAGTGATTTTCATTAATTGTGTGGCTTTTTATTGTGAAAAACAGATTTATGGTTTTATTGGATGTCATAAAACCAAACTGAAAGATAAAATGATTTAAGATATCTTTTTAAAAAAATGTGAGGTGTAAAAGAAGCCATCAGTATGTTGCTCAATAGTTTGGGGAAAAATAAAAAGTTAAGAGTATATTCGCTTTAAAAGCTAAAATAACATTATATGAACATTTGCATTTTAAAAAGGTAACAACACTCTAAGACTAATAAATATGAAAATTTATGATGTCTTATTGCTTGGTTTCAGGAAGAAATTAGCCTTATTTGAAACATTTGAGTTTCAAGTGTTTTTCAAAAAATGCCTTATATATTTTTACATAGTTTAATATTAAAGTAGAAATATTTATTTGTCATAAAACATAAAATTAAGCAAAAGAAAATAAAAAGTTAACATTTTAAAATATTTAGACTTAAAAAAAACAAAAAGAAGGGCAGAAATATTTTTAAGTTTAAAAACAGAAAGCAAGAAGCAATTTTGATGCATAAAAACGCAATGTCCTTTTAGAAAACAAAATCATGTCTAAGCAGAGCATTTTAAGCTTAGTATTTAAATATGCATTTTAATTTCCACATGTCATTAATCAATTTTCTGATTGAGCTCCAACTGTATTCAATGTATAAGATAAATAATTCATTTATAATTTTCTTACATTTATAACACAACATTCATTTTATCCTCACCAAAACTATAGATCACCAACAATATAATAAAATAACTTATTAAAAGTTCTCAAATTTTATTTTTAAAAATTATTTAATGATGAATATATCACTTTCATTCAGAGTAGATTTTCTGTATCTTTCAGACTGGAATACTAAATTAAACCGATTTATTTACTTAAAATATTTTGTTTTATTAAAGTTTTACTAATAAATTTCTAATCTTATAAGCTTTATTTGTCTAACATTTATGAAATTGACAAAACAAAGAAGTATAGAATTGGAATTGTATATTGACTTTAAAATCTCAAAAATTCACTCACTACTTTTTTTTCACAGTGCTCTTTACAAGAAATTGTGCTAAATATGATGAACTCAGAGAGTGTCATCTCCACACTCAGGAAGTACCACTCATCTGGTAAATAAGACCCACACAGGCAGAAAGATTATCACAACACAATGCACACAAACAAGAAGTATAGAGAAAATCCATGCCTCAACAGCCAGGAGAGGCATCGATGAGCATGGGCAAAAAAGTGAGGAAGAGGGAAGGGCACAAAACTCATAGGATGATAGATTAGGTCACACCATGAAAGATCCTAAATTGTAGATTAATAAAGCTATATTTTTACTACAAATAATGGGAGACATTAATGGCTTAAATGGGTATGTAATATGATAGAAGCTGAGCTTAAAAAAACTGGATCAATGTGTATGATCAATTTTAGGTGGCAAGGAATGGCAGAAGGGAGATCATGAGAAAGATAGCTGCAATTATTTAGACAGAAGGAGTAGAAGAAAGAATAAGACAGAACTATAAAGAGAACATTGTGACTTTATGGAATAAAAGAATATATATCAACTAAGAAGACTCAAAAATGTTGTATTCACAAGATACAAAAGAATGACGGAATTAGAAAACAGAAATGCCAACCTTTTATAAAAAGAATAGATAAAATTTTTGAAAACATTACTTAAAAAAATAGGCACCTTACCCTAGTAACTCGGTTTTTAAGTATAAATCATCTGCTTTCTTATTCTCACGTACTAAAATGCCAGAGGCTACACTGAAAGTCAAAATCAACACAAATCAGGGCTCCAAACATAGCTCTAGCACTTTTTTTAGCTCTGTGACCTTGGACAAGTCACTCAACTATCATATAGTCTCTTTAGCTTAAAGTAAGTGGTAATTGTAGCAAGCTCCAAAGACTGTTGTGAAGAATGCATGGGATGATGTATACTTTGCAGAGAGCTCTAGTGCATAGGAAGAGCTGAAGATAAGACAGCTTGTCTTGTATCCTATCATTACTATCAGTGACTTTTCACTACTTAAAAATCTTTCGAGAGCAGCATAGTGATAGTAGAAAAAATTGCCTGCTTCAGGGTAGACACCTATCTCTAAAGCATCTTGATTTAGGGTGGGGACGCAGCTCAGTGGCAAAGCGCTTGCCTAGCACCATGAGGCCCTGATTTCAATCCCATCACTGCATGAAATCAAAACAGCTCTTTATTTAGTTCAATGAAATTTTCCCCTTCTCTATAAAGCCATCTTGGTAGAAACAGAATAAAACTTTATCGATTATAATTCCAAAATGAAAAGAACCTTTTTGGTTTGGAAGATGGGAAATTATGCCAGAAAAGGGCTCATTGTTGGAGATAATCAAAACCAACAAATAACCTAACCAGCTGGACCAGGACTCAACACTTACTTCCCAAGTCAGGAAAATCTGCCATGGCACCAACTCCAACAGTCAGAAGAGCAATCTCTTGCCAGAAATGCCATGCTCCCACTGGCAAGATAACCCTTTGCCTCACCCAACTAGGTCAGGGCTGCTCCCTTGGCTGTATATTGTGGCTCAGAGATGCAAGAGCGACAAAGCCATCAGCCAATTGTACATCACTCTCAAAGTGCACTGTTAACCTGCATGGCTACAGTGCAGTTTGATACAGCCTCCTTTAGCCAAGTGGACAAAGGCAGGTCCAGACAGCTTTACTACTTCCCAAAAGACACACCTGAAATCACGAATACAAAAGCTGGGGTGTAGCTCACTGGTATAGCGCTTGCCTGGCATGTGCAAGGCCCTGAGTTCTAACCCCAGCACCAAAACAAAACAAAATCATGAATGTAACCAGCAGGACAACTAAAATTAGAAGGTATTAAAAGTGGTTACCTAAGAGAATAGTAGCTGAGATGGGACATGAAGAAAGGGAAGCTACAGTGTGGGTAAATTTTTTTCCTATTTGTGAACACAGATAGTAACTACATTTATTATTGATTAGATTTTCTTATCAAAGAAATCATACAGTTTAAGTCAAACAGTGCTCAATTGCTCATACAAAGAAAGTGCCCATGCTGCACTGCTCACCAAACCTAATCCTCAAAGGCACATTGTCAACTCTTCTGACATTTATCTCCGTGTTTTAAAATGACACACTAATATTTGCTCTTTCTTGATTTTGCAGTTTATGGCATTATCTATCACCTTCCTATGGAAAAAAAATACCTAGCCTAGTGCAGTGGTGTGTGCCTACAGTTACAGCTACTCAGGAGGAAAGGCAGGAGGATTCTTTGAGCCAGGAGTTTGAGGCCAGTCTGGACGTCACCCTACAGATCCAACTCATGCTCTCATAGAATAATTCTGGTTGAATCATGAGTTGGTAGCTCGTTTACATGCTGACTATGGAAAATTTCCTCACTACTGAGGCCAGTATTGCTTTGGGATTTTGCCTAGGGTTCTTGTTTGTTGAGATGGGGGTGTCATCACGTTGTCTAGGCTGGCCTCAACTCCTGGGCTGGGTACACGTGATTCTCCCTGCCTGAGTCTCTTGGGAGCTGGGACTGTAGGCATGTACTACCACATGTACCTATTTTTGTAATAGTTTATTTATTTATTTTTGGTGGGAATGGGGATTAAACTCAGAGCCTCTAACACTAGAGCCACTCTGCCAGCCCTTTTTGTTCTGGTCACTTTTGAGATACGGTCTGACTTTATGCCTGATCCATGGTGGACCACAATCACCCTATTTGTGCTTTCCCATATAGCCACTGCATCCAGCCATTGGTTGAGATGGAGTCTCGCAAACTTGTGGCCTCAATCCACGATCCTCCCAATCCCTGCCTCCATGTAACTAGAATTACAGACTTGAGCCAATGTATCCAACCATTAACTGACATTTTTCTACAAATGTTCAAACAGAATTGTCAAATGCCCATCAATATTTTTTCAAATAATCAAACGTGACAAAGTATAAGTTCCTTTCATTCTTTTTCCTGGGATATATCCTTGGTGCCTTGCTTCTGACATTTTGATCTCTGTCGTGTGTCAAGCCTTCTCCATGTCCCTTAAGAATTTCCTATCTTCTAGGTCACAGGTCATTCTATTTCTCAGTTTACTGTTTTTTGGAGTTTTTTTGTACATTCTTCAGGTAGCTTTCCTAAGAAAGGGTACATAAAACTACATTTTTGTGTGTGTTTGTATACCTGAAAATGCTATTAATTCTATATATACACTTCATAGTTTGACTGGTATAAAATTCTCTTTTTTTTAATGAGGACATAGTTTTTATTTTATTTTTTATTGTTATGCTAGGTGGGAGTACATTGTAAAGTTCCATTTTCAAATTAATTCACTCAGGAATTTTAAGGGACTACTCCACTATCTTCAAGATTCTATCACAACTGAAAAGCCGTTCTGACTCTTATGGTCTGTGATCTGCTTTTCCCCCTTCTGGAAACTACTGTAATGATCTCTTTTCCCCAGTCATTTTGAAATTTTACAATGTTGGGCCTTGGAGTAAACTCTTTTTCATTTTGTGTGCTATTTTCAGTGGGCCCTTTTCAATCTGAAGGCTTGTTTTCTTAAGTTTGAGGACAGTTTCTTGTATTACTATCTTAAAATATTTTGATGCTGTACATTTTAATGTTTCCTCTCCTAGAACTACTG